ACCTGCTTCAGCTTCTCGCGCAGCTCGGCCTCCTCCAGCTCGCGGTCACTGTCCAACACACAGGAATGCCAATAATCAGGATAAATGCAGGGATAGGCATTTAAGACCATTCCATTGGACTGGGGGACGGTCCTCAAAATCGGGGAGTTTAGGGTGTGGACATTGTTTCTGGAAGCTGAATTAGGGAAACATGGGCTTCTTGTGATTGCATCCCATGCAAGTGGCAAGCAAAACGATCACCAACTGTGTGCTTATTCTGGGCACACAACGACAGCGCACTTTTCCTTCCCTTACACCCATCTGTTTCTGTGTCACATTTGCTCACATTGTACCACAATTTTTTGATTGGGCACAACCAGGATCGCACCAAGTATACATCAAAGTACATTCAGGCCTGAGAATAGCAAAGGGTATGTCAGGTTTTCCTGAGGTGATTTGATCAACATCACAGATAGGCAAAAACAATGGTACAGCTATTGCATATTGATAGAATGATGACTGCACTCTCGCCATAAGCCACAGGAGGAGCGCTTCATCTTGGTTCGGCAATGCACTCCAGCAGATTATCAAAAGACACTTACGCATCTGGGAGGAAGTTGGTCTCCACAGCTGGGTCCTTCCCATACTTTGCGAACCTTGGACGTTTCACCCCACCATTTGCATCGTCTTCGCCACCGTCACATTGTCCATCGGAGCCATGCTCTTCGCTTTCTTCATCTTCCTGACACAGGGCCACACACCGACTCAACTGATGGCCACGCGAACTAAAGACTGCACATTCGACAGACAGGAACATAAATCGCACAAAGGCGCCCCCCTTCTGACAGGAATGGAAGTGACAGTTTCAAATGGCAGAGCGTGCTCCAAGTGAACAGGAATAACATTGCTTCTTCACGGACATTATCAACACCTCTTCTTCAGTCAGCGCACCTGAAGGCATGGTCCATGCTGCATGGCGTTTGTGTATCACTCACCCTTTGGAGATTTGTGCATCTACTTTCACAGCATGATACAGAGCCTTGCCATCGCTTCCTAATCAGGAGGGATGCCCATTGTGCGGCATGATTCTCATTTTTTTCCACACGAAATCTTCCAAAGGAACAACACTAAGCAATTCCTTGGCTTTCTGTCATCCTTTCCACATTTTTGCAAATGGGTTGTGAGCATAACAATATGGGGACAGTCAGCAAAATGTAAGCTGGATGCTTCTGCACACATCAATGCCAGCATCATGCAAGGCTGCGTTTCAGGACTTCCTGGCAAATATGTGGAAGTGCAAGAAAGAGGAACAACACATGAAATACAGAGCTAAACACACACTCAGAGACCCAAATCAACAGCATACCAGCAGCACATCAAAGGCTTCAAGCCCACCATTGCAGGCCAGCACAAAGGACAGCAATTGACACTGGCCAAGCGTTCTTCACTTTGACCATGCCAGTGTTCCAGCTGTCGATGTCTCCACCAGACATCAAGTGCATCGATGTTTATGCTGTTTATGTCAATGTCTTCATCAACAGTGCCTGGATCTGTACTTTGCCATTCACAATCTGTTCTGCCAAGCTGCCCTGACTCAATAACAATGCAGTTGCCAAATGCAGCAAAGGGGGTGCAAACAGACTGTTTGAAAAAACCCATACAGCACGACACCACAACATGGCATTCACCAGGAGTCAGCATCCAACCTCTTGGATTTTGTGTGAATGTGAACCTGACAATACTTGAACTGCCATGTGTGACTGCACACAAACTGTTGTTTGGCATATTGATGCATTAATAAGCAATGCATGACTTCAACTCTGTGTTGATCCTTGCGACCTGTGTGGAATTCAGCTCGTTTCAGCCCACCTCTCCAGCAAATGACAATTTCGCCTGGGCAGCAAGTTTGGCCCGTTTCCTCTTCCGCTCTTCCTTTGCAGCGAGTACTTTTTCATGCTCCTCACGGAGTCTCCGGTTTTCAGCTTCTTCAATCCTTTTATTAGCACCACAGGAAACGAAACTTGGACCACATTTACATGTCCAACAGCCAGCGTGTATCACAGTGGTTGTCAACAATTGATCGTGTAGTTCACTCTCAATCTGGCTGAAGGTCTGATGAGTGATCGTTAGGCACTGCATCAAACCATGTTGACTGTTGGAGGAGATATTCACAGGAAAGCCAGAGCTGCACAAATGACGCAAAAAAGAAGAAGCAGAACCATGCAAAGGAGCCACACGTAGCAATATGGGCACAATGCCTCTAATCAACGTGGGTATTCCTTCAACTCCGTCAGCATCACTTTGCTTGGTAGCGAGTGTACTTGCAGTTACCGTTCATACAATCATGCCAATTTCTAACAGCAAACATGAAAAGTCACGTCTGCAAAGTATGCACTCTCAGCAGTTCTGACTGAGCACTGGGGTTGCTGCCATTTTGGACTCATTATGCAGAAGTCACCTGCTTCAGGCCACATCAGTGCGATTTGCATATTGCACAGTTGTACTTTGAATGTGTATTGTACAGTTTGTCATGTGCTGCATGAATTTCAGTGTCAAGTGCTTTTGAACTCTTCTGTATACTCTGGCACAACCATTGTGCCAGCCAGAACCAATCAATAACCAGAAGCAATAATCTGGCGCCGTGCACAACACCGAATCCAAGCAGCATTGTTGTCAGGCAGAAACAGCTGCTAGATACAAATACACAGCAAGAGCCGCTCCGCTGCAACATCTGTACTGTTCATGGTACTTGGTTTTGAAACCCAAGTTTTTCAGAACACAATGTATCCAGCAACAACCAGTAATCCACACAACAACCACAGGCTTGTTGTAATGCCCACTTTTCTGATCTGTTGCCTTGCTGCTGTCAGGATAGCAATCCATTCTCCTGCCCTAGTTGTCCTTCTGGTGCTCCTGGCCCCATTTGGGGACACCTATGTCTAAAAATGAGACCATCACCACAATTTGCACAGGAGCATGATGAACTGATGGCGTTGCATGCAACTGTTGCTGCAATATGTTATGAAGAAATTGAAACAAATCCAAAACAGCAAATCCATTCGTCCTGATCGTTTTGCATTTGAGAGTAGACACCTCTAATCCTGACCTTTCCTCAATCGTTGACCTCTTCTGCATGAACTCCTCTCGGGTCACCAGGCCCACAGTCTCTCTCTTGAATGCAGTGTCAAGGACCTTGCAAGACATCACAGGAAAGAATGTGGGCTCAGCGCAGCCAACATTACACAACAGCTGAACATAACTGACAGTCTCCTTCTCCCCAAAGTTTTCTGAATTCTAAAACGGAACATTGGAATTGAAGAGAACATGCTCCAACCTGCATGGCCAGATATAGTCAATTCACGTCCCGCACACCAAGCTTGCCAGAGTGGAGAAAATGACGGCAAAGCCCACAAGTGCTTTGTCCCAGTGACTGCACATGAAGCCTGGTCCCCCAGAGACAGAAAACATCCAAGATACCAACTGCCCAAGCAGGAGAATAACAACCAACACCCACCAATGGTGGATGGTGTATAGAGCGCAGGGGGGGGGACACTAAGGTGCTTCCATATGTGTCCATCCCACTGGCGCTGCTGTACACATGCCAAATTGGAAGGTTACAACAGTATGCCGGTGCCTAATCGTGCCAAAAGCGTTTGGTCCTGAGATGTCCCTTCCAGTTCATTGCATCGAGCTGTTGGCAGAGACAGTTTAATCCCCTTGTCTTTTTGCTGAATACCCTTGGCTTTGAAAATCCTTTTCTTCCAACAGCTTTGTCCCAGCGTTCGGGGTACGCAAACCTCCACAAAACCAAAGTGAGTACCGGGACGTCCTGCTGGCAAACGAAAACCAAAAACCAAACAAAACGCCAATCTGTGACCCACCTCCTTTCCACTGGGCAAGACCGCCAACAGCAACCCAATTTCGACAACCTACACCAAGAGCTCTCCGCAACATCGCCGCGCGGCTGCACCGCCAGCTCCGGGCGCAGGCCCGTCAATCTCCCGCAAACACAATCAAAGGCTGCCCACACACCTCCGAGCTACCTGCGCCGAACCGCCTGAGGCCCGCATTCTCCAGCTTGGCCTTGGACTGGTTGCGCAGCTCCTCGAACTTCTTCTTCTGCTCCTCCCGCTGCTTCTGCTGCCTCCGGATCCTGGTCACGTCCTGGGAGTTGCCCACGTACCCTTGCAGCCCCATCTTGGGCCCCTGGCGCCAGCGGGCGCCCGCTAAGGTGGCACCGCCCGAGGTTGCTTGCACGCGCCACCGGGGAACCGATCTGAAGGGCAGCCAATGGGGCCGGGCGACCCGTTTTTTGTGTTCCTCTTGCTCGGCAGGCGAATTCAAGGTGGTCCGCGCGCGCTGCCAAGCACATTAAGTACTTCGGGTTCGGCACTTGTTCAGTAAATAGGGTTCAGACACTTTGAGACTTGTACTTAGAGCACAGTACCACAAGGACTGCCGGCCACTATCAGTATTCAGAGTTCAGCACCATGGGAAGTGCCCAGTACAATCAGAACTTTGAATTTAGGACAATGAGTCGTGCCAGCTACTATTAGTACTTGTAGCTTGGCATCACGAGTGCTGCCAGTATGGACACGCTGGTAAGCACGTGGGGCGGAGAGCTGGGTGCCCAGCAAGCGCCGGATTTGCAAGCGGCCGTCTGGGGGTTGGTGTGGGGCTACGACTCTATTGGGTTCCCAGCTCTTTTTGATCCAAAATAAATGACCAAGGTGCCATGCATTCAAGCACAGCCGCACTGCACATCAGCGAGGCACATGTGGTGGGTTCCGGCCGAACTGAACAGTGTTTATTGAGCTCCAACCTACACTGCCTTTTCGCGGGTGGAAAAGTTAAAAAAGAGTCGAAGGCTGCCTGCTTTCGTTGATGTGCGCTGTTTCCTTATTGTCTGGGAACTCCAGTCCGGGTCCCCCCCCCGTTTGGGATGAGCGATATTACATGCTGCCAACTGTAAGGGTTCCCCTCGCATGAACGCACTCACAGTATTGTGAGCCCAGCTGTATGTCACCCAGGTCAGCCTTGCAAGTTTCCTTGTCAAGAATGGCTGACAAACTATTAGGTTAAAGTACAGCACAACAAGAAATGCTGAGCCAACTGTTTGCCAGACTTGCTCAATTCGCTTTGAGTTGCTGAAGACACTAGCCCAGTGTGTCCCGCTCAGTTCAGATTTTGTCGTTTCATGTACCGAGATTAGAATATCATCAAGGTACCGTCTGACATCCAGAATTGCACTGATCTTATGTGCACCTAGCACAATTCAACTCTCGTCGATTTTTGTTGAGAGTTCTGCCCAGCTCTTGCGCAATTGTTTGGCTTGATTTTTAGTGATTGAGCGTCTCTGAGATCCTTGCATGTCTCCTTGCTTTTCTCCTTTCACAGGGGCAGGAGGGCACACTACAATGCTGTGCTTAGAGGCGGGCGTCAGTACAAGTGGAGTACTGCTGGATTCGACAACGTCTTTTTCAACTTGACTCATGCCTCTTGGCCTTTCATTGGTCAGGATCCAAGTGACAATGAGTTGGGCATTTGTATGTTCTCAATTCTATAATGAACTCATGCTTTCGCCAGCCTTTGCCTCCTTTCAGTACTGGACCTCACTGAGGCAGTACTTTGTCAGCTGCGAACTGGCCTTGATTTAAGTGTAGAATCAACTCAACTTTCCCCTACCTTAACTATTTACCTTCTTGTCTTTTCACTTCCAGCCTCTTTAGGTTCGGTCGAATGTAGATTAGTTTGTAACTCAACTAACTTTCACCCCTAATCACCTTTAGTCACCACCAAAATACAACAGCTGTCTTGGGAGCACAGCTCAAGGCTGTAAACGCCCAGCCGTATTGTATACTTTAATAATGCGTGATTGTACTGTAAGATAACTATAGCTCAGCACCCCAGATTTCTTTGAGGGTGTTTTTCTAGGGCCCCGTAGGCTTCCCAGTCTATTATGTAATGTGCAATTACTATTAAAGTGCGCTTGGGGCCCCGCAGGCGTTCCCAATAGGACACGTTTCGAGTGTATAAAATCATTGACGTAATGGAGCCTTTGTTACTCACAATCTGCCCACACTCATTCAACACACACACACCGGACAACCCTCCACGGGTTGTGCCCTGCACTCAACTTTTGACCGATTAAATGCTTATTACAAGAAATGTTTGGTTGGTCCCTCGAGACCACCGGATGGTCAGTTTTTGCTGGCGACAATAGGGGCGCCGCTCCCCTATTTATAGTCCGAGAGATTGTACCTCATCTAGGAATATTCTAGGAATATTTCCTGGAATATCCCTTCCCTCAAACGGATCACAAAACATCACACAAATCAGTTGGCTCCACCCCTTTTTACCGTTCAGATCAACATACTCAAATGAAATCCCTTTACTTAACAATCTAGGGTCTATTGGCTCACCAATTGAGCGCAACTTCACCCTAGTTGCCTAGATTCCCCCAACTATTCGAATATTCCCTCCAGATCCCTTTGAAACATAAACAAAGTACTATAACACAATCACACTTTATGTTTCATCTCAATAGTATCATTCACTGAGCCACATGATTACTAAAAGGCTCTATTTACTCAAGCTCCTCCCACAACATTTTTTTGCTAAGTATAGAACACTGATTACTAACCCTTTCAGTCAACTCTCATCAAGGGCACTTTGCAGGGAAATGGCCCTGCCACTTCCCCTCAGTTTCTAGTCCCTCATGGCCTTCACGCGAATGTCCATTCGTTGTCCATTACTTTTCCGCATGCCGAGTAGCTTCCGCCACCAACGATGACAAACTCGTTCGCGTCATCGGCGTCACGCATCTCGACCTCCCGCACCCCGCCAGGGTGCCCCTCCGCCGCTCCCGTCGTACTCCCCACTTCGCCATCCGCCAACGCTCCGCCTTCCGCGCCCGGAGCCGGCGCGTCGCCGCCCTCGTCGCCTCCACCATCTCCGCCGACCAGCCCTCCGGCCTCCGGATCCTCGACGCAGTCGAGGAGGCCATATCGCACGAGCTGGCGCAGCTCCCATTCGCACCCTCCCCATGGCTCCGCGACCTCGCCATCCATCCAAGCCGGCCCCGTAGTCACCAACCCCCTTGGCGACACCCTTCGCTCCCGCGCGTATTCGCACAACTCGCATGGTGTGTCTCGCGAGCAAACTGGATAGCCGGGGGTGCCATAGTAAGCGGTATCCCCTGGCTGCCTTATCCATCCACTGCCCCACTCGTAGGCCTCGCTACGGTGGGCATCCTCCGGTTCCTCGCCTAGCTCCACACGCTGGTTAACCCGCTCGCGGTATAACAAAGGCCACTCCGAGGGCAACGTAGCCCTAGCAGCCCTTTTTCGAGCCCGTTCTTCATCCTTAGCCTCTCTCTTGCTCAACGCATCGGACATCTATCCGCCTTCCTCATAGTCCACCAGGCGGAGGGTACCCTCGACACGGATCCAGGCGTGAAACCGTGACGCAGAAAGGACCTCCCACTCCGTCGTTTTGCAGCGCAACAGCCACACTAACGGTGCACCACCACTCCCTTCCGCCGGTGCAAACGGTGCGCCTTCTCCGGGCCAGCCAGACGCCCTCGGCCTTCGATATGGTCGGTCAAACTCCGCAGCAGTCCAGGCCAGCGACGTGGTCGGAGTCCACGCTCGCCGGTTTGTCTGGTATCTCATACGCACCATTTGATGGAGGCCAAAGGCCCACCGCCTCGTCGGCACCGCGGAAACGACACGAGCTTCTAGTCGGAGGTGCATGGGCTGCATTGTTCGACGGAGTCGCCAGCGCCACGTCCACTCGCAAGCAGTCCGCAACCAAAACTCCGGCAGGCCGGAACCCTGGGCGGCCAACCAGTCGAGCGGGACGCCAAGCGGGCCCTCCACAGCATTCCGAAGCTCCCGCTGGCAATCGGCAGAGAGGCCATTGGCTCGCGGGACCCAAACAAGGCCATCCCCTCCAGCTCCCCCGAGCATCCCGTTCGGAACCACAACGTTCAACAGGTTGGCCCTGGTGCCTCGACCAGGTCTGCACAACTGGCGGGGTTCGGACTCTCTTTGCGCGCCGTGCGCAGGCCTTCCAGGCCGCAGGGTTCTTGAGCGGAGGCTTTTCGGGAGCAGGGCCCGTTTCCCGCGGCTCTGTACGGCTGACTCGGCTGTCAGCGCATGTGACACATCAAGAAAAGCCCAGTTGCACTGGGCAACCTACAGGGCTGTCTCCGTACCCTTGGTAGTATTATTTCGTGCACATGGGAGGCCACCGCGACACAGGTCGGTCGCGTTTCATCACAGTACGACATCCAAATATGGATGTCAGTCAAACTACATCGTGAATAAGCAAGTATAAGGGAATGCACAATGCTCATCCCTGTCCCGTCCAGCCTGGGGAGGGTTGTGACAGACTAGTGCTGAGTTTCAATTGCATTCGGGGGTCCCTTTCAAGTGGTCCAGTGCTGTAAATCAGCCCTACTGTCGGGCATCCTTCGTACTGCCCTATGGGTCATGCCCGATCATCAGAATAAACCCCAGACAGCAGCATGCCTCCTTGCGCACTATGCCCTGGCGCTGTGCGTCGTTTCTATCACAGTCATTTCCTAATTTGAAGCACTGGCAGGCACATAATTGCCAGGCCATTTCGGTGCTTTTTTCCAGCATCCCTGGCATAGTGCTTGGAGTTGCCCTTACAGCTGCCAAACTCTTAGTAAAATGCAGCAACGTTCGGTCAGAACTTTACCACCGTACAGCTATGTTCTTTTACACCTTTTTGCTCTTTATCATATTTCCCTTGGTTGTTTTCCGTATTCAATCCCTGCCATGAACTTTCAGCGGCTTCTTCAAAGAAACCCTTTCTTATCAGCGAACATTCAAACCTTGGAATTCTGTGGTCGTATGCCTTCAGGGTTATCAGTCACATCAGGTCCATATTAGGGCTACTGTAATCTAGCATTAAGGCCCGCATTCCCAATACGGATATCCATACACATTCGTGTCCACCTGCAGCCCTTTACATTGAAACGTGCGCAAATCTATCAGCACCATCTTGTATTTCTTTCCTGTTCATCTTTATTCGTTATTCATTCTTCAGCTGCCATTTCTTCAGCCATTCTGTCCATCTCGCATTGTTAGTGAACTGGATTTATGTTCATCCAGTTCTTAGTAATCTATGGCAGATCTTTTAACTCATACTTTTCTTATCCAGTTCTTGCCCATGTGCCCCAATGACATCCCTGGGCTGAACGCTTCGAGGCAGCCTATTCATGCACGCAGCTGGCCGTCTTTTCTTGGTCAGATCCTTATGTAGATTACAGGTGCAAGGCCGAACATCAAGCAACCGTTACACACAAACCCTAAGATCTGTTTAAAAATGGAAACAAATTGTGTCCATCAAATCGCAGCTTCTGACGCTGCCTTTACATGACACAAATCCATCACCCTCTTGAAAAGCTTTCAGCGATCATGCTCATGAACGGTCGAGCTCCAGTCAGGTGGTATTAATGCTCGCCAGCGTGTCCAGAGCTGGACAGCCACTGAGGGATTGTGGCTTGTCTTGTTTCCTTGGTCTTTTCCCTACAGCCATTGTCCAGCCAGTGGGTTAGACACCATAAACTGTAAAGGCACAGCGACCATCTGATATCTTCTTGATATGCCGTTTATGGGATTAACTATCTTGTTAAGGGGTTTCCGCCCAGGGCGACGAGGGGCGGGCGCGCTGGCCCACTTGGGCCAGCGCCGCTTAAAGTACGATGGTTTTGGCGGCCCCTTGGGGTTTCTGTCCCCTTGTACCTTGGGTCAGTGGCTGGTTTGTCGCGTTCAAGGAGGGCCAGTGGTTTTTGGCGCCCTTGGGAGCGGCGGGCTTTGGCGGGCGCGAGCGGGGAGGCTACTTAGGCTCACCCCTCGGTCCCCACCTTATCTTGTTTCGCTTCCCGCCCGGCCCCCCCTATTAGGGTGATGTTCGGTGGATTTTGAGGCAAGTGTGGGAGTTAAGCACGATGGAATGAGGTGTGGTGGGTCTGACTCAAGGGTTGAGTCTGGTATGGGACTGGCTTAACTACTAGCGAAGCGATTGGGCACACAAAGTTGTGGGTACCTCGGGTTGTATTGGGACAAACAGTGTCGTGTAATGTATTGGTCCAGTGTGTGTGTGGACCTGGGTGGGACAAGGAGCCCGGCCCGGCGGAAACATATAGCTCTCCCTTGTTCCTTTATGAATCGCATATCTGTTTTTTTCTTCACTGGCTTCCCTTTTCTTTTCTCGTTCACCCTGACTGGCTGTTTGACAGTGGCCTAGTCAGCTGCCCTATGTCGGTCATGAGCCCGCCTTTGATGTACCGGTGCTCATGACTAACGGCAGTTTTAACAGTGCGCCAACAGCAAGGGTCGCAGCGTCTACAGCACTGTCTTTACACGGGTTTTGGGTTGAGGGGGGGCTGGAGTGGGTTTGGCCGAACCATGACGAGAGCGTGCACGTCAGTCACGATATGACCTGTGCATGCTGTGTAATTGCCTGCCTTTCCCTTCCACCCACGCCCCGGCAAAAGTTGGGAAGAAGAAATGGCTTGCTTCAGCGGCTGGAGTGCCTGTGCAGGCCAGAGGCGCGCCTACAGGTTTCTGACTTCATGACATCTGACTAATGATGGCACCAACGTGCCGTAGAGCTCGAGGAGCGCAGCGTTTGCGACTGCACACGCAGTGCACGCTCAGCGCTCTGCTCAGAAGTACAACCCGTTGTGGCTGAAGGCGGGGTGAGCAAACAGCCTCGAACAAATGGCTTGGATGAAATCGCATCCATCGTAGCCTCGCATGTGCATGAGCGGCGCACTCGCATGCCTTCCTCTCTGGCAAATGTAGTCAGATGGATCGCTGCCTCTGCTGAAAGTCCTTGCAAAAGGGCTGAATTGATATGCACTGTTTGCTGCATCTGTCACTGCACATCAACCCCAGTTTTAAGCCATTCGAAACGGAGTGCTGGTCAACTTGTGCTGATTATGTACCCTGTGTTCTTTGGGGCGCAAGTCTTTTGGTCGTAAGTTGCGACATCAGCAACGCCCGGAATAGGGGCTACGACTCGTTGCTAACCGCGTTTTCATGCCAGCTTTAACCAATGCTTTCCTTATCTCCTTGTTTGGGACCATACATCGGCTCCTGCTGGAAAAGGATCCCATTGTGCTTTACAATCTGTGGGGAAGCTCCTTGCTTAGATCAACATGTAATACATTGGAATGGAAAAAAAAAAGTGCTTCCCTCTGCTGCCAATGCGGCGATGGATTGAAACTGTACGTTCTCAGCCGCGCCATCGCTTTGGCATGAAACTACAAGCTGACGCTGAATTCTTTCAACGGGGATAGGTTTTCGGTTACTACAGTATTACTATAGTGTATCCACAGGGTGGAATTCAGAGATGGAGGTTTTGAGCCATGTTCCCGCCATAGCTCCGTTAACCGGTGCGCATCAAGAACAGGCGAGCTCGAAGATGAAATGGTGCATAAAATGTCGTCATACGCAGCCACAACGCATCCAGGTCGTGCATTTATCTCCCTCTTGTTTGTCTACGATCCCGACATACAGCATTATCCTCTCGAGCCTCCTGCCTCCCTATGTACCCTCTCTACCTTGCCGTCCACCTGTTTCCGTCGCTCTCCTGCAGCGCATCCCAGAAAGTGCCCTTGAGGGGCTGACAAGTATAAGCTATGAATAGAAATGAACACTACTGATAATGAGTCATACAACACAACAATAATCAAGAGGACGCCGGCAGGACGTTAGCAGCCTTTCAGGTGAGAGGGGCATCTATTGCTGTACATTAACATTACATCATGTTATGGATCAAAGAAATTTTGGAAGGGGCTTGTTCGTCATGTGCTTCCAGCAAATGCAGTCTGTGGAACTATATGTGACACACTGCTCGCGTTTTCCGCTCGCACACACACGGTCGCTCCCAGGCACGGGAAGCGAGCCACAACCGATGATGTTACAGAATGATTGTTCCAGTCATGTAGTGTTCACTGCAAGCGTGGCCCAAAACATGTCTCTCCCCCTGAACACCATACTTATTTCACCACAAAGACTTCACACTCCACTCAGTCACCTATGTACCTTTCTCGTCCTCACAATATGTATAGATGGCAACCGCGCAATGTCACACCACGTATATCGCACCCACGTGTAATTGCACATCACAATTAAAATACAAATATGTGCATTAATTGTGCAACTACACATGCGCAGTCATATAAGATCGACATACACTGCTTTGGACCCAAGCCTGCACTCGATACAGCCACAGCACAAAGAATCAAGGAGCAAGAGCTACAGAGAAGGCAAAGCCCCCCAGCGAACGCTGCATCTGAAGGCTCCATGTGCTCGCGGTGTCCCTCACCGCACTGTCATCGTGAGAGAGCGTACCTCACCTGACAAAGTCGAAGCAGCCACTCCGGCAGCTGCACCCGCTTGCCTTCCCTCTGTATGGCGTCGGCGACGCAGAACCTCAGCTGCTGGCCGTGTTTCTCGGCTTCGGTGCTCTCCAGACATCGTCGCAGGTCGCTCCAGCAGTCCTCGCAGCATTCGAGGTCTGTGGCGCAGGAGAAGGAAGCACCGTGTCACGCTCATGAATATTGAACCGAAAGTAAAATCAATAAATCAACCAAACCAATATCAACCACTGAAGCAATGAATTCAACCAATCAATCAATTCACAAATGATGTGTATGCAGCAAAGGACGGCACGTCTGCAGCAATGCAGAACAAAAAACAATGCGGAGCACAACATGATCTGCCAGCGCCACACGGCGCCGACCCCGCTGTTCAACAAATGGGCCAGTTGCATAAGGCCCACATTCTAATGTGTGCGCTGGCTCGTTGCGCCAGTAGACGTTGCATCGGCACAGGCTGAAAACATGCTCACAATTCGATGCATTTCGATACATTTCGATGCATGTACTATCCATGTTCGAATGCGGCAATAGCAGTCTCAGATCAGCTCTCTGTTGTGCCCAAATGCCACGCACCCAGGGAATTGTGCACAAACTTCTACAGCATGGAAAAGAGCCTCAGAACATTCTTCTTCATTATGGGGCCATCATTCCCTTGCATGCATCATTCTCGTCAATGAGACGACCGCTGATCGTTCATGAACGCACCTGGGCCGCCCACCGTCAAACATGGTACCCATTTTCCATGCTGCTAACAAGAGGTGAAGATGTCGCCCAAAACACCCAAACCCCACATCCCCCCAAAACAACGGACCTAAAGATGTTGGCACTGGTTGCTCAGCACACGGCATGTTTTCCTTCGAGCTCCTCGGTTTTTACATTTGCTCTCCCCGCATTCCAGACTGAAACGCCCTAATCCATCAAAGAGAGTAAGCCCTCAACCCCAAAAACTAAAAGCCAGTATTCACCTGTCTCGCCATCAAGCTGCCGTTGCAGGCAATCCGCCACCCACGTCGTGAACACCCTCTCGGCGTGTTTGGTCAGATCGTAGCCCTCGTGCAGACGCGACGACAGTGCAAGCGCCCCGGCGTAATCGCCTACATGCAGCGCACCGCACAACTCGGTTCGATTCAATACGATACGAAAGGAGTTCCAAAAGCACCCTTTGAGGAAAACGGAAGCAAGAGAGTTCTGGGTACTGGGCGAAAGAACCAAGCCTTAAGGACTAGATAAAGTTGCTTCAGTGGTGAGGAGCAAATAAAACGCTCAACCTAAAATCGCAGAGTAAAATGCAGTAAATGCAGTTGGCAGTGCAGCGCGGCCAGCAGGGCTGCTCTCGGTCCCAGCAACGCTTTGAAAGTGACGTCGAATCAAACATTTAATCAGCCAATTCAATGTTTTAACAGCTATTTGAGTTACCATTTCATTAACAATGCACAAATTTGAAATCAACACTACACGGCTGGATCCCACTTAGCCGCAATACTCCATGCGTGGCTTGGCTCAGAGTTGCTCAGCGCACAGCACAACAAGCATCCGTTCATATGTCAGGCGCCGGCGGCCATCGTTCGCACACAATTGCTCACGTGCTGCCAGCAGCTCGGCAAAGACGTCACTGCCCCTCAGGGACGTCCATCTGGTGCCTGTGGGGGCGCGGCCAGATTGCGAGAGAGCGACGCAGGCCGACACCACCGCATACTCGCGCGTCAGGTCAGCAAGGCTGGCGACTCCCGTGTCACCGTTTGCGGGGTCGACTATCCACGCATCCCTTTCTGGCACCAGCTCGAGGGCGGCAACGGCGCAAGCTGGACATGCCACACAGGACGTCAGCACCAATCAGACACGTGCCATTCACTGGCCGTGAATTAAGCAACTCTGTACACTTGCGTTCCGTGCCTGAATCGTGCTAATTCACTGAAACTGGTGTTTGCAGGGAGCCATCTGTGTCTTAACTCGTGTCCAGGTGATCTTAGCACCCTCAGAAGCTCAAACAATACTTGTCATGCTTTCACAGTGTTACAATCAAGCGATGCTTTTGGCCCCTTTCTTCATCAAGTGGTACATCGTCTTGAAGGGCCAACAGCACCACTCTGATCTGAAATCCAAGGCACACAGTCATTTGCACTTGGTCACTATTGGACAATTTGCAAAACGAAGCTACCAAGTTGGAATCAATGTGGGTTCCACGCAGGCCATCAACACTATGTGGGTTGCGAATGGCAACACACACAAGCTGCAGCAGGTCAATGGGACGAAGCTGCCAGACAAACCTTGTTCCTCATCTTGACCAATGTTCATTGCAATCCAAAATGACAGACTACACATTAAATGTGCATCAGTTTCAGCCTGGGTACGATTAATAGAAACTAACGTAGAAATATGCCTATGGCTACGAAATTAGGCATTGTTAGGTCTGAGCAATCTGAGATGTTCGATACTCTCACATGTTATCCAGTCCCTACATTTCTTGACTGATGATTAGATTGATGGATTTAAAAAGACGTCATTTGATCGAGTCCAAACCTGCAGCCACAAAACGCACCCAGTGCGTTCTCCATCCGCAAGATGCCTTGTGGCTCTACAGCAGGTGCATCCGCCTGCACCCGCCTCGCATACTTCACCATGGCCTCTGCCGCCTCCCGAAACTTGTTGTGGGAGATGGCCAGTGCGTGCCACACCATGTACGGCTGAGGCACATTGTCCAACGGTGCCTTTGCGCCCCACTCCTCCAGTACATCAAGTGCTGCCTGGAACAGGGACACCACCGTGATGGCGCCCTGCTTGGCCACTCGCAGGAGCCCAGAGAATGGCAGCTTCAAAAGAGCGTCCACCTGGCCGGCCATGCAGGCCCTCTTGACTAATTGCTCAACATAGGCAAGGGCTTGGTGAGGTTGGTCTAGGGAGAGGAGTGCAGCGTAGGCCGTGTCGAAATCGCCGGCCTCGCAGGCGTATCTCAGGGCACGCGTGCGGAGGCCACCTGCGGGCGATGATGCACAACAGAGGGACAATCAAAATTTGATGCAAAGCTCTGGAAACAGTGAAAAAAGTAGCAAAAATGAAGAAACATGTTGTGCATTGAATTCGTGAAGCCTGGGAGTGTGCACGGTGCAAAGTGCGCCTTTGCCAAAGTTTTGTCCTTGCAGACACTGCCTGCACGTTGACAACCTGCAACACCATGATCTGATCAGTTTGCCAAAACTGATGCTATGGTGAAAAAGGACACAGTGTTTGACTAAACGCAATCATCAAAAGGGTACTCTCAATGCACCGATGCACTGTGCATCATGCATGGATCGGTTGGCAACAGCTCAAAGCTCCAAAAGCAACAAACGTCAACAAGTTGGCTAGAGCTCTTGCTTCCAATTGGGGCCCCTTGTTGCACAACACGTATATCTTTTACCCTTACCAATCGAACGTGTATTTTGTCTCCTGCTTATCAGGTTGCACCTTGAGCAAATGTATTGTGTGGTACTGTTCCACTGAGTTGTCTTTTGAGATTGTGGGGGGCAGTGGGGTGACACATGGGCGGCCCTGTGCGTGACCATGGTAAGTTCTGACGGTTAATACATTGTGTGCACAACATGGACAGTGATATGCACATCTCTGTCATAACACCGTATGTAGGAAATCTCCTTCTTCTCACCAATCGATCCAATTGCTGTAGTACTAAACCCTTCCACATAGTAACATAACGCTTGGCCTTTCTCTCAGAGAGAAGTTAATAAATGGCAATGCAATCCCTGGGCTCTTTGTACAGAGCAAAGCAAAAGAAATAAAAATAACGCCCTGAAAGAGAATGCTGAGCAAAAAGTACAGCGACAAAACTTTACATTACAAACCTGCCTCGCTGACTCTCTGCTCCATGTCACAGTCCCAGGTGGTGCTGGTCTCTACATGCCGCACGGCTGCATCAGCAAATTGGATGGCACCCTCGGGGGCCCCAGTCATCTCCATCACGAGCATCGCGGCCTCCAGGTACATCAGGTGGAGATCGTTGTGACCTTCATGCTGCCCCCCTGAGCACACCTTCTTCCAGAACTCTCTCAAGATACTCTCGCCCTCACCTACAAAACCTGCAGTCCATGCCCACAGCGTCGTTGGCTGCTGCGCAGTATGCAGATATGTTCTATACACAAATACACTAATCCAATACATAAATGCTATATACCCAATAATAACACAATACTTCAATACAATACACTGATACAATACAGACAAGCAGTAAGTGACAAAGCAGTGTCCTTGTGCATTCAAGGATATGGTGGGCACAAGACACAGAGTGTCCTCAACGCGATTGTATCAGACTCCATCTCAAAGCCACTTTCCAACCCTGGATGCATTTTTTGGAGCACACTTTCTTTTACTTCTGTAAGTTCCTTAGCCATCCTCAGCGGGGCTGTTGGGCCTTGCCACCTTCGAATGGCCTTTCTCTGTGCCTTTGTAGAGTGTTTTGTTCAGTCCCAAACATTTCAACACATTTTGGAGTCCAGTCTGCCCTGAAGTTTTTGCACAGGTCGGCCATCTTTATTGCCATTTTGGCTCGTTTTTCTGCACAGCTGCATTGACCATTGTTTGGTTTCCTGGCTTATACAAGCTACATAGGCTTATAGAGGCTTGTACAGGCTATACATACATATATATATATATATATATATTTTATTTATTTATATTTATTTTAATTCCAATATATTACACGAAAATGTAATCTAAAGCTATATATGACTTATATAGCTGCTCAGCTTGGCCAACTGGGCGATGTGCAGAACGATGATGCTAGGAATGTGAACAAAGGCTGGCTGGCTATTTTTGTGCTCATTATTGCCTGCAAGGGAGAAGCTGCGTTTGCCATGGCTACGCCGACAACTGGAAAGCATGGACTTTACGGATCTTCAAAACTGAATACCTGTTGCACCGGCGAAGAGCAGCTGCACAGCTGCCTGGACTTGCCCACTGTATTCCGGCGTGCCCTGCACCCCTTTGAGCCTGGTAGCCACAGCAAGGCCCTTCAGGAAGGCCTGACTATCAGACATGCCTGCTGCCAGCGAGCCGATGAATGCCACGGCACACCAATCCCTCAACTCAAAAAGGAGGATAGACAGCCTCAGCAGCGCATTGTCAGTCCCTGAGCACTTCCACACAAAGCATTGATGGTGTGCTAGAAGCATAGTTTGTCATCGTTGGGAAGAAGAACAAGCCAATGCTTTGGGCAAACCCTTGTGGGCAAAATCCGGACAGGCACTCGGCCATGCTGTTGCAAATGATGCAAGAGTCTTTGGGTGCAGGGTGGGGATGCACAAGACGATGGGAGAGGTAAACCTTGTGTTGTGTCATTCCTTTCCATTCAGGATGCACTCGGTTGGCACATACACGCATGCATGTTGCTGACAAAACTTTGCCTTGCATTTTTTTTCTATTCCTAAAGAGCATTGTGACTTTAGCCATATTTCAATAGCGACAAGTTTGTTCACAATCTTGCACTTGCAGCCAGACCAATGTTGCAGCATCAACCTTGCTTTTGGTGCCAGCTTTCAGCACTGACACACAACATTCTTGATCCCCTTGCAAGGGGGAAACCACCCTGAGCAGAACCTTCGCCAGGCAACTTTCCATGCAAAGAGAACGTGGCCATGATAATGACATAATGTAACAATCATAATGTTAGGCAACATAACGTGCTCATTGCCATGGATTCAGAAAACAAGCAGGGGTGGTGCACGGGCTCTTGACAAAGCCTGCACTCAGTCACCTTCACTCCTGGAAACCCTGTCCTCACACTCCACCAGGAATGCACACAGCTCTGTGATCACTCGATGGGCTGTGGTGACTCCACCCGGGCTTTCTGGAACCTTCTCACCATCACTTCCCGCCATCTTCCAATCGCCTGAGGCAGTGAAAATCCGTGAGTAAGATGATGGCAAGCCCCAAACATGCACAGCTGCAATGGCAGTGCTTCGTCATTTTCTGACACACGCAATCAAAGCAGCCACCTGCGTTGCCTGAATACTGCTGCCCTGTGTTAAGCACCTGAGCTAACTGATTCATCATCCACAACAATGCCACTGCTTTGCGTTGGGCAGTGCCATATTGTAGCAACATGCGTTTCTTGCCTTCTGCACGCCCACTTGAACACTGTGACATTTGCCTATCCATTTATGATAATGTACCAGGGAGGTGAGCCTTGTGCTAGGTTGGCTATGACTGTTGGGGAAGCTCTCAGTCAGCCATTCAAGGAGTTGCCATCCTCACTTGCCAAATCTGTGTCCCTGGCATCATCCACAAGTCGCCAAATGGAGCGCTATCCTGAGGTGACAGCGAGTAACACTGATTCCAATAGCTAAATTGAACTGACAGAATGGAATAGGAAACCAGAAGCCTACATGGAAACAATGAATATGGCAAGTGCAGCACCAGGGTATTGCTTGACAAAGCAGTCATTGCTATGGTACACACAGTCACCTTGTTTTCTTCGTTCGGGATTCAAGGGACACAGCTCACAAGGCAATGCCTCACATCGCTGCAGGTGCGCACGTCACACTGTAATGAAAACAATGCAGCTGCAAGCATCTCCTCCACATGCCTGTTCCAAGCAAATAGTGGTTGGCCATGTTGGCAGCCACCATCGAGTGCCATGTGCAAGCTTTCTATTTCTGGCAACCACGACCCATGGCAATTGTGTACCTGCCCTGGGAGTTGAGCACAAGTACTGCGCCATAGCGTACACCTTGAACAGCCATGCCAGCCTGGGCCACATCTCCTTGCTCGCAGAGTCCAGCTGCTGCCTTGCTGGGTACAGGCTGGGCACACGGTTCAGCAGCGCCATCAAGAGCAGTGTGCCAAACAGCATGACCGTGTGGGACTGTGCGTTCGTGCGAATGCAGTTCACCACCAGGTCCGCCCCCTCTGGGCTGTCTGACTCCTCCCGCTCCGCTGGGCCAAAATTCGCAGAGGCGGTCGAGGCAGCAGAGCAGATGTCGCCCAGCACGGTCTGCAGGTTGGTGATGCTGGACAGATGGGATTGCAGCTCGCCCCACTGAACCTCTCCCATCAGCACGCGGAAGTTCGCTCGCCTGCGTCCGGACTCAGCCCCAGTCGTGCCTTTCAAACAGCAGTCGAATCAATGACTCACCAGTACAAGATGCCACTGCAAGGTCCTCAATAGTCACATTCAACAATTGCCCCCAAGCGATCTTATGTTCTCCTGGCAGCCAAGCCCACCAATCACATGAAGGACTTCGATTGATGCGCTATCTTGCAAGCGCATGATGTGGTTCTGCAGAGCACGCAGATTTGTTGTAATGCATAACAGTGCAGGCATCATGATTTTGTTGGAGTCCAAGATAATAAATTTGATGAAATATACTGGAACAAAGATCATGACACTGGCAGTGCTGCACAACACAAGAAATCCCATGTGCACAGAGGAACTGCGTGTGGAACTTGGCTCAAGCGCCCACATTTTGTTAGCCCCAAATTTCCACAGTCCAAAGCATAGCAATATCTATGGAACAACTTGGAATCAGAAGAAATATTTCGCATTGATTGTCATTTCTAAAGAAGACAAGACACGTCAGACATTGGCGTCCCTTTGAATTCCCTTGGAAGTTTGGCATAGCTCCACCAGATTGCAAGAGATGGCTTGGATGTCTTTGAATGCACCAGAAACAAAGTGCTGAGGCCATAGAATGTAAAGTTGTGGTAATAGGGGAATGACCAAACACTTATTGCTAATTGGATGTTGTTGCTTCCACCATCCTCCAAATCGCAAGGACTTGTATTCATCAAGGGATGCTGAAAACTCGCGATCCACGGAGGGGCCACGGCAAAGCGTCTGTATCACCACCCCAGATGATAAGAGAATCAATGGCTTTACAATGGGATTGTAGCTCTTTGTTGAAGCTGTCGAGTTTTGTTAGTAATCATGTCTTGGGGCTTGAGGTGTAGTAACAGCTATTGACATCCCAACTTCAACAACATAAGCACCAATAGACCTGACACCTACAGTACCGATGCCACCACAATGCGACACAGGCCCTGAGCACTGGCCACCACACTGGGTATCCACCAAGTCCTGGAGGCCAAATGCTCTTGCACAAGAGTGTGGGATAAGGAAGAACCTACCAGTGGGGAAGTCCTTGGATTTTGGACCACGCAAGAGGTAGTTTACCATCGTGGGCAGAATATCATCTTCCAGGTTGGCACCTGCACACGACAACTATTAGGGCACTGTGCAGTGAAGAGCCACGCATTAAAAAACAATCATCCCTTGGATTCAACACCTGCGGCTATGAACTGCGAATGACATCGTCCAAGAGGCACAGGGCCAATGTTCTGTTGTGTTTGGCAAAATCAGTCGAAGCACATTTCCAAACAGACAGTGCTGCAGCTCCCCAGTTTTCCCAGCTTGCTCCTATGTCAGCTGTCTTCATCTCAAGACATATGACCAAATGAAACAAGCAGAGCTCTCTGTAGATGCCAACAATATACTAGGATGCTATCAATCCGAATCAATGCTTGCCATGGTATTGGTACACCAAACTGTCATGGTCTATTGCTCATGTTTTTGACAGCTTCAATCAATAGAATTCAGCCATGCACACAAGCTTGTCAACACATGCCATTTAATGCGACATAGGCCTTGACATTGTGTTCCTTCTAGTGGACTGGAATGAATATCAGTTAGGTACGAGGCACTGGTGCTTCCAAGGAATGGCCCAAATGGACAACAATATGTGTGCGGGCAGCACAAACTCAACTGTCCTAACAATGGAAGCTGGTGCGCCAAAAGGGCATGCACCCAGGGGCCACTCCCACTCTCACACCCCTTTTCCTTAATTGACTACAACTTGACATTCCATCTGCCTGCTGTCCAATTCTCATTGCCACACAAGGTAGAACAACTGGTCAACTCTTAACTCAACATCTGGCTTCTCATTGCCTGTCATCTGGCTTGCAACGGGACCGTACTCTTCCGCATGACATTGCACACACACCTACTGCCAGCAGAGCTGGAACGGCCTCAAGGACTACCCCTCCCAAGCTGCCCAGCACCAGATCCACGCACTGAGCAAACTCCGCCGTGTCTTCAGACCACTCGCCATCGTTGGGGGACCACAGAAGCTTCTCAATCAGGCTTGCCTGGCGCAGTGTGGTCAGCGGCTGCCCAGTCCGCACAACCGAAACGCCAAAGCCTGGCACGTCCATCAGGCCCAGGGCACCGTACCGGCGCTCCCACTCCACGCAGTAACTACTGCAAAGGATCCAGTAGGCATAAGCCCGTGGCATGCCCACGTTCTTGGTGCACAGAAACTCGGACGCGCTCTGCAAGAGGTCGCCGGCGGTGTCCATAGCCAGCTGGGCGTGGCTGTGAGATCCAGGGAAGCCATGCATCGCCAAGACGGAGTAGAGGGTTTCCATGCAAGTGGGGCCGTTGGCAAGCAGCTTGGACACGAAGAACTGCCTCATGTCGGTCTCCGTGTACTTTGTTTGTCCGAGGGCGGATAGGAGCACGCTTTCCCAGTCTTTGGCCTGCCGACGCAGAGAAGGGGGATTGAACAACTGACGGACTCCCACTTCCCACACAACTATAATTTTATTTGCACTTGAAAATAGAATTCAAAGCTTCATTACAGGCGTCCAGGTACTGCACTTGTCCCCACGAAAAGAGACATGGTCCTTGTGCCTTCTCACAAGAAAACCCAACAGATCAACAGATAATGTGAAATTTATGCACAATCTAAAAGAAGCCAAGCCCAAGATCTTCTGAAACCTCTGTTGAAAGAAAAGCCATCAAGTACGATCTTGCCGAGATGGGCTTGACGATCGCACAACAACATCCTTTTTTAATCATCAGGCAATTTTGCCTCGCCAAACTCTGTACCATGAAACGCCTATTCTACAGACTATTGCTCTGCTGGTGCATGGGCTGGGGGAGCTCCCATCTGGCAACAAGCACCCATGTGGATCATCAGCACATGCAAACAGCACTTCAAGGGCACCATGCATTTGGTAAGTCCTGTTCCAAATGGACTCCTGCACGGTTGTCTTCAGATCTCTTAATCACCGCACTTAATCAGAGCTCCTCGTCAAAGTTGGCTGTGCCATTGAACCTCAAGAAGGCAAAACACTGTCTGTGGCCCTCAAGAGCAACGAAGTGAATTGTATCTTTTGCGTCCTCAATTTGCAGGGAGGACCAAATTGGGCACCAACATGGAGAGTATTTGTACATCTGTTGTTCAAAACTCTTGAGTGTTTGTCTTATAAAATCAGAACAAGACATTGTCTTGCCCTTGATGGCGATGTTGGGCGTAAATCCATGAATACTGTGTGCGTTCATTTAGCATTGTTTGTTCTTTGCATCTGTTACTCTCCGTAATCAGCAGAAACACAATGTGCAGGCACCTTGCTGACATCTTGCAACTTGCTGTGATGCGATTGACATTAAGAGCAACCAGCACAACAAGAATGCCAAAATATCAAATGTGATGCAACAGGAAGAACACCAGCAACAACAAAAGGCCACCAAATCTGCTTTAAGGACAGGGGCAGGTGCCCCGACTTCATAACGTGATGTCGGGTTTTAAAATCAAGCCATATTAAAAGAGAAACATCTGCATCAGAATTATGTTATTAACATTCACGTTCCAATGGATGGAAGGGATGGACAGTTCATTGCCCAACAGTTTTCTGGAGGAATGCAGCATGTCCCATCGTCCCGTTGCCATTCCGCCAGGACATTTCGGTCCACATCTTCGAGACCGATCCCCTTCGCAAGCGCAGACCACACTGGGAGCATTCAGTCCCCGCGCTTCCACCTTTCGATACGCAGCCGACGCACGCCCGCAACCCCCGCCCTCCTCTTCCCAACAGCGCAGGATCCGCCTCGACGCCATGACGATCTCAAAATTCCAACCATCCCACCCGCGCACCAGTTCCCCTGGTTTCATCGCGCAGTTAGGGCCAATCGTTCTGCACCACTTGCATTGGGAACGAAGAGACAGTCGCGGGGCGCCGTCCTACCAGCCACCGCCTGCATGGCGCAAGGGCTTCAAACGATTTTTCAACCGCCGCTGATCGCGGCAGCCAAGAAAAGACTTCGTATACACAAACTCTGTTGAGCATATCCCCGCCTGCCCAGTGTAAAAACTTTGTGTATCTGAACTTTTTCTCCGCAGATCCCCACCTGTTCTTGAAGGTCGCCCATGCTGGGCACGTCCTTCAGCCACAGGAAGGACATGGAAGCGATGTTGGGGCTGCCGTTTTCCGCCGCGCCCTGGACGCAATTCGCCGTGGTGTCGACCTCCATCGCGTCGCTGGGCTCGCAGCCGACGGGCGGTGGCCGCGCGGGTGCCCAGGGCGCCTCCCCTTGATGAGGCTGGGCGGCTGGTGACAAGCAAATCTGGCATGTCCTCGAATTGAGTGGCTTTCTTTTCAGAATTCCTAAAGTTTTTTTTCCAGATTTTGTCAAGTCTGCTGCAAATTCATATTCGTAGTTTAGCTGCGAATTTGAATTTGGTGCGCCTGGCTGTAGCAGCCCGGCATGTCCTCGAATTCAATGGCTTTCTTTTCAGAATTTTTTCAAGTGTCCTTTGAACTCAAATTCATTGTTCAATTATGAATTTGAATTTGACATCCTTTGAATTCATTGCTTAACTATGAATTTAAAGGAGCCTTGAAAAGCAACGCAGTGGTGCATCCTAATTTCAAAAATGCGACCGTGCGCTACAGCTCATATACCGTCTCCGTACTCCCACAGATTATCACCGGAGTCGAACGCTCAATATCGACTGGACTGTATGCACCTTTTGATGTAGAGACTGGATTGAGGATTGGTTCTGTTGACAAAACACAAACCGTCCACGTTTGTACTGCTCATGTACTGAACATCAGCACAATTCCTTGCAAGGGTGCTTCCATCATCATCATCATCAGGACATCTTTAAGATTTCTTGATTTTGTCGATAGGTAATACTACTTCTGTTTCATAAGTTGTGTCTGACTTCAAATTTGCCCGAACAGAGGTCAAAACGTGTGAGTCATAAAAATTGACCGAAACACTTTGACGTGCCGTATCAAGAGCTATTCGTAGTGCCCTCAAACGTTATAAATGCTGCTGCCGTTCTCGTGATATGTAAAGAGGAGCTGAAACACGAATTTCCACTTTTCCCGGACATTGGGCGGGGTACAGCATGTGTGGCTTGCCCTTAAGAAGAGCTGGATTGATCTGATCAGATCATAGCTCATGAGCTGTCACTAGAAGAGATGTGGGCTTTGGGTGGTTGGCGCCCTCTAAAGATTCGGCTAGATCCCAAGCAGAATCTGCAAGGAAAAGGTTTTGAGTTCGCTGCAATATTCGGGGTAATAACAACAACTGGGTGCAGGCTATGGTCAAAGGCCAAGAGAGACCTTGATCATTGCAAAAGCATCTATCTTTAAGATGTGCCGACGTTTTGAGTGCCACAGATTTTTGCATCAGCCTGTAGAAAAACGCAGATTAAAGTAAGCCTGGCCAATTGTTGTAAACAAGCATGTCGACAGCACGATTCGGCATATCAGAAGAGATAAACCCTAAAAAATTGTGATAGCAATGCTCTCAAAATATTAAAAGGGTGTGGTAGTACCTATATATTTTCTGCAGCAAGGTTTGCAATGGATTTTGGTGCATTGTGTTGGGACATACCGGAATATGGCCAATGCAACAATGCGGGAAATTGAGGGCCTGCATGGAATGGAAAAACGGCGTTCTTGAAAAGGTTGTTGAGTGCCATGTTGCGTGGCGGTGACTAACATGGTAAAGATCCACATCAACCTAGAATCTACCAGAGAATCCAAATATGGTGGCAGATTCATTGATTGAGTTCATCTTGCAAAGTTCTAGCAAGAATCTGAGATGAGGCACGACTTACGAAACGGGGGTAGTGCATATCTTACATATCCCTGCAAGGGTGCTTTCTGAACAACGATCTCGTCGTTGCTTTATCGACCTGCAACGAATGACGACTATGGCTCAGCAACGTACACCATGCAACGCCCCATCGCAGTAAGAGGATGTGCTGATTCTTTTGGTTAGATTTTTGCATTATTTGAATTGAAATAGAGCTAGTTGTCAACGTATACATAGAAGTACTCATACGCCTTCAAGGGACAAAGCCATTGCGCATTGCAAGTTTTCCTGTGCGGGTTGGTGGGTATGCGCAGCAAAGGCTCTGTCCCCGTCGAGGAGATTTGAACATCCAGGACTGCTCGACTACTAGCATTAGGGCGGCTACAGTTGCCGGTCTGAGAACAGCATCAATGCTGTTCTCAGACCTGTAGTTCATGTTGAATATATTTCGTCTATAGTTGAGCATTGATGCAGCTGCGCTGTGTACAAACCATTTGATCACTTTTGTCGAAAAAGTTACAAACAGGCACCTCGAGCGTGCGCAAAGAGGCGCTCTCTTGTGCTCACACCCGCCCGCGAGCGGGCACGGCGAACAACAGCAACCTATCTGACGAATGTTGCACTGGCAGGTTGCCTCATCCGTAGAAGGCAGCAGGGCGTTTGGCCAGTACATTGCTTTAATATCCCCCAACCACCTGCCCTATTCCTTCCGGTAAACAGCAACTGGACGCCGACTCGCTCGAGGATGCATCCTCGCTTGGGGATTTTGAAGGGCGGATGAAAAAATGGAACCCATTTGTGGACCTCGAGCTGCAGAACTCTGTGTCCTGGAACCAAACCACCCCGGTGGATTTGAGCACACCGCCTTTGTCCTCCCGTTAGTCATCCGAATTAGGATCAGCGAACCGTATGCATGGATATGTATACGTACATACGGATCGAAATACGTCACGTCTGGCCCCTCAGCCTTCTGCTCGTCTTGCATTTCTCCGCGTCGATGATGCCGCAAATGGCGGCCACGGCCTCCTCCATCTGGCCTTCCCGGTTCACAACAACTGCGGAACCACGTAAGGGCACAGCGCCATTTCAGTACAATATGGTACATTACAGAGCAACCAATTTAATTAATAACTATTTACGTATATCAATTTATCAATGACTGGTTGAATTATTAGCAGTATTCATTAAGTTGTAACAACAACTTAATTCTTAAACTTTTGCTACCTAAAATCACCCTGAAAGGGGGTTGCGGGTTCAGCCACGGTCAATGTGTTGAGTCTACACAGACAATGGTTTATATTGAGTTTGTACTGTTAGTAGTTTACTGGGTTCATGTGACTATTGAGTCCGTTGAGCTTTTACAAACTGCCACGAAACGGCCCTGAATGCTTTTGGCGATGAAAACTTGGGACACCTGCCAAATTTGCTAAATTTACAAGATTTGCTGTCAGCGTTTTCACCTGTGGGCTGCAAGCTGTATCGACACCAGAATCTGGACGTTGGTGTGTTGCTGTCACGCGCCAGTCTGTCTGCGAGTAGGTCCACACTGTGGACCTGCCCGTGGACTCCACAGGAGGCAACCCATACCTGAATGTGATCAGGCTTTCTATTGTCGCGTTTGCGGCTGTGGCTGTCGCATTCATTTGAACGTATGTGATGAACATGCTTCCCGTCATTGTTCTATCAGCAGTACTACTATCAGCACAACATGTACCCGCTTACGGGCAGGTGCCCTCCTGTGCAACCCCCCATGGTATTGACGCAAACCATCGGTGAAAGTATCACATGCAGGACATATTTGATTTCTGCGTATAAAATTTGATTGATTCTTTGGTAAATTTGACAGTCAAATATTTCAGAAAAGTCCAAAGCATCGTTTCTCTTCTGACGGCATGGAAGAGGGCCTGTGCCCTGCGACCGTGGCCAACAGGGATCCAGTTTGGGGCAGCCCATCGGTGCTGATACGTCGCTTCCGAGAGCGACCCACCGTAGTCGAACTCCTTTATTCTCTCGGCTTCCTTCCGTGCGGTCTCCACTCGTAGCAGCAATTTGTCCTGTGAAGACAAAACTGGACACGTTTGGAAGCGCGCATCTGTTGATCAAAGGGGGCTTGCCGTCTGTCGTCCCGACAAGCCTTGCAAGCCGATGCCATTTGCTAGGTTGCAAGAGGATCTATTGCTGCAACATCGGCACTCGGTGTCGAATTCGAGCGGCAGCGTTCTCGCCCAAAGCAGCAGCAACACAAGGCTTGCTGGTTCATGCACATTTGGCCCTGGCCCCAACCTGTCGCGCCACCTGCTTGGAGCACAGCTTTCAGCAGAATGGGCTGCAGCACTGAGGTTGACCCAGGGCTGCGCCTATTGCTCACTATCACCACTGATGCCATATCCACAGAATACCCCTTTCAAGTCCAGTGAGCATCGCATGCTTGGCTCACCAGCGCTGAAACCGTATAATACGATGCACAGGCACGTCCAGACCCTCAGAGTTGTCACCCCCAGGAAGCCCGCAACTCGCTCTTGTCACAACAACACAAATGTGTGCATGTATTTTCTCCTCTGTGGACTCGAACAAAACATGCACTTGGAACCATTGCCTGACATCGCCAGCTTGGTGCAAGGGCTTGTGCTTTGTTACTGACAAATGTGAATACAACGAGGCTGGATCGGTGTGGATGTCGTTTGGGAGGCTCCCATGCCCGTTTCTCTGCTCACCGCTGATTCTGTGTCTCGGGAGACGAGGCGATTCACAAGCTCCTCCTCGCTGCTGGCAACCTGAAGGGTGCAATACACGGCAATCCTTTGGTGTCGCTGGCATCACCATTCGCTTGCATTCACTCCCTTGTCATGAAAATAGAAAGCACAACTGTTGCACCTGACAGGTGACGATGGGCTTGAATCTGCACAAGGGATTGGCATGGAGACAGCACAAGGGACCGCACTGCCCCCAAGGTCCACACTGTGGAAGCCATCCAGACTGTGCACTCTCAAGCGAGTTTTGATCGAATGTTGCACTCACTAGGAAGATCGATATCGCCTCTGGCAGCACCCTTCGCACAGTTGCAGCCCCCTGGACGTCCAGCCGCAGCACGACGTCCGTCCCCTTGGCCAGTGCATCGTCCACCTGCTGCCTCGGCACGCCCTTGTACTCGCCATACACCACAGCGTGCTCCAGCATCCGGCCCTCCCGTATCCACTCCTCGAATTCATCCTTGGACACGAACAGGTAATCGACACCGTGCACCTCCCCGGGCCTTGGGGCCCTTTTGAGGTGCTGCAGGGTCAGGGCTGGAGGTTTTGGGATTGCATTGGGGACACTGAAAGATCGGCCTCACGTTTGTGCAGATCTTCCATTTTAAAAGATGCAGAAAAGTGTAGTATGATTGCGTGGCAATGAACAAGGACAGAGGCAAAAATTCAGAATTGAGCAGGAAATAAGAACTGAAGTTCCTTGCAAGCTGCCTGGAGAAATGCAAAATCGGGCCTGAACCTTGACTCGTTAGCACGTGAACAGGACAGTGTGCAAAAATTCGTGAATGCTTGAACAAGTGGATGAACAAATGCGTGAACAATGGATGAATGAACGAGCATTGTATGAGCAATGTATGAGCAGATCACAAACAGTCCCTTAGCTTTCGTCTGCCCCACATTCCCCATGAAATGCCAAGTAGGCATTGTTGCACACATGCACCTGTCAGCGGGCGTGAGCTGATGCCACATGGGCAGTGCATCACTACCTTGTATTTTATTACTACAGATGCGAGCACTTCCAGTACACAGTTGAGTTCATTGTTGTTTCATTCTGTAACCAGCATATGCAGTTCTTTTTAACCAGTTTTCTGATGGGCACCTGAGGCAACCGACAGGACTGCCCTGGCTGCTCATTATGGAGCCCACTGGTGTAACCACACTATCCATGGCCTCACGTGTGCCGTGGGGCCTGGGGTGGGGATTAATTGTCAGGAAATGCATAGTTTGGGATGGCCTTGATATAAATGGTAAAATATGCCTGAGTACAGGTACCAGAATGTGTTATATCTCTGTCCAATGTAATCGACTTACAAACAAGCCCACACAGACTTGGTATGCATCCCCCCAATGGGCCAAGCATTGTTCAATGCATGTTGGTGTGCGTCGAATTGGTAACAGACATGAACTTGTTGGATATCCAGGCCTGGGAGCAATGAGCCAAAATTGGGCACACGCGACGAAGTTCCATGGAGGCATGTGGCATGGTCGCTAAGTTTCACACTGCTGCCTGCAAGGATTCATTTCATTCGGCCGCACCTTGAAGCTGCTGTCACAACAAAGTGCAGGTTGGGCCTCCTTTTCTGCACTTCTCTTATTACAGAGTCCTTCCCCACGCCACTCTGTCCACTGATTATCACAACAATAGGTGGGGCTGGAGGGACCTGAAGCAAACATCCCAGCACACTGTCAGGGGAGTAAAAGTGCTGAAGTAGTTTTGACAAGCTTGAATTCTTGAACTAATGCTATGGATGGCAAAGAGGCTGTTATCTCCGCAACATTGGGCAAGGGCAGTGCATTGACAAGATCTGGCATGGGTGTTCAAGAGGACTGGATCAACACGAGGTGCAGGCTGCAACAGAATGAGTCAAAAGAGAATGTCTGCAAATGCCATTCAATAAAATTCTCAAAATATGACAATCTGACAGACATGATAGAAACATTGGCTGCACTGATCCAAAGATGCCGACATGATTATCATGACCAATCGTCATTCCTGCACCACTATCACGATCTCTGGTACTGTGCACAAGCACAGGTGTTACTTTTATCAAGGTACAAGGACATGGTTTGTCAGGTGCTGTTGACAACTCTGTTACTGTTTCACTTGATTCCCAAGTGATACATCACTTGCTGTATCGTTGTTCATGACCAAAACTCACCGTCATTAATCAGATGATAGGAATTGCTACACTCTGATAGTGATATGCCCCAGTCCTGCCAATGCAATCCAACTGCAAATACATCTAGCATTCACGTCCTTCTTGGGTCTACATGGAAACATGAAGCCAAATCCAGCACTTGGACCAACCCCCCTGAACCTCAACAGAATTGTTGACAAATGCAGTCCGCAGAATGCATGAAGGTTTTTCACCAATCTGGTTGTGGTTGATTGCCTTTGATAGGCACCCCAAGCCAAGCACCGATCGCCACCTTGTTTGGCATCAGGACTATCAGTATATACAGGCAGTGTGTGTCGTCAGTTTTGGAAACAAAATTGGCTAGCATATTACTGTAAAATATTAAACACTCCCGCATAGTAACGTAATGCTTGGCCTTTTTGGGGGGAGAAAATAATATGAGTAGTAACGCAAATCATGGCCTTTCTGTGTGGAGCAACTTCAAAAAATTGATACAGCACTCTGAAAAACAAACGCGCAGTAGAAAACGTATCGTTGGAATTATCTGATGCTGAAGGGTTGAGTATTTTACAGTATTGCCAGTGCAACCACAGTCAGCCCTCGTTGGACCCGCTCATGCCCAAGCGTTGTGATGCATTGTGTCGACCTCTAGCAAAGCGATCCTATCTCATGATCTGAATTCAATGGTAGACACGTGCCACGATTGCTGTCTCGTTTTCCGTGTTGCATGCAATGGATGGATTCTTTAGTTGCCCCTCCCGTGGCTACTGACAATTCTGGCACGACTACTCCCCAGATCGCTGCCTGTTGAATCTACATCAACTTTCACATACCCTGTTTCGGTGGCAGGCTTCAATCGAGCAACAAAGATCACATGTCAACACCTGGCGGCAGCCTTGCCCAGATCTTTGCCCAGCCCAAGCAACGCCATTCACGCGCTCGCGGCGGGGCTCACTGCAGCTGATCGCCCGATCGAACACTTTGCACCCGCCGTCCCTGGCGATCTTATACCCGGACATTCGGGGATCCTGCATACCGACGCCCAACATGCCTTTGCAGGCCCAAGGCCCCCACCACCACCGCAAGAATGCATAATGAATGTATCAAGAATGTACCGAGAATGGCACAAGAATGTATCAAGAGTGGGGGCACTGAGTCGCTTGGCCAAATCGTCGGCGACCGCGGTTAGCCCTCAGCGTGGAGGCGCCTCCAACGATGCAAGCCACTCCCTCCCACAAATGCAATCAAGCGATCCACGCACCTGCGGCGCGGCATTAATCTCCCCGACCGCCGCCCTCAGCCCCTCCATGCCTCTCCTTCGCCCCGCGGCCGCCCCCTTCTTCAAATTCCGCGCCCCGCCGATCTCATGGGCGGGATGCGATTGGGGGATGAGATGCCGAGCGGCCGCGGGGAGCAGATCAACGCTCCAGCCGCTGGGCGCTCGCGTCGAGAGGCGCTGGACGAGGCGGCCGGTGCAGGTCCTTAACATGACACAGCGGAGGGCGGTTGCTGGCGTCGGGGGCCTGCATTGTTGGAGGTGGGTGTGTGACAATTTGACCTGGAAGAATTTGGTCATTAATTTTTACCTCCTTTACTAAGAACGAGTGCATAACAAGGTAAGGAGGCAGTCGTCACCTTCCTATTTTGCCCGAGCAAGGCAGCGGCCATGATCAGCTCATTGAAATCTAATGTACAACACAAGCAAAAGTGTCCCCGGTGCAAAGAGTTAACATGTGGCTGCTGGCGCGGGGTGCCTGTATTGTTGGAGGTCCCTCTCCGTGTGCGGGTGAAAATTTAGCCAAATTGTCACCAACGAATTTTGCCATTGCCTGTGACAATTCGGTCATTCATTTTTGCATGACAAGAAAAGGAGGTACCCGTCACCTTCCTATTTTGGCTGAGCAAAGCAGCGCCAATGATCAGCTCATTGAAATGTAATGAATAACGCAAACAAGTCCAGAAAAATACTACCCTATTACCAAGAAGCATATTTGTATGTTGGGTAACAATGACTAATGATGGCAATTTGGTCAGTGACAGTTTGATCTGTAGCCAATTTGTGTATGTTTGTGCTGTGCATTAGTTTTCGATGAGCTGAACATGGACACTGCTTTGCTGGGCCGAACTAAGAAGCTGGCAGCAACCTCCTTGCCTTGTTATGCAAAAGTGAATGATGATGACTGATGATGATGACTCAGTGTAAAATTGATGATTATGATTATTCAGCGCGAAGTAAGGAGCTGATGACCACCTTTCGCCTCTATATGTAATATTTCTTTATGGTGACTACTCTGTGCTATATACTACTTGATGCTATTCCCCAACATTTCGCTGATGTTCTGCCTTACATGGCTCGTTGGCAAATCACGCACCCCTGCCGTTCTGTCGGGTCTTTGGCAAGTTGGCCAAGTGACAATGTGGCCAAAATATCGTAGCCTGTCAAAAGCGCGGAAACTGCTGCAACCTCGGCTCGTGACTGCAACGATACGGTGTGAACTTCGTCCGTTGATACGGTTGCGATACACTTCGTTTTCATCATATTTTGGAATGTTCTCTGATGACTTGTGGCCCTTGTAAAATGCAAGTTAAGTGTCACCTGAAGAATAGCTGACGCACATGCTGGGTTTGTGCATTTCTTGCCAGGGCTACTCGCTTCCATTGGACTTTGGCCAAAGAAATGTAGCTGCAAGGAAAGCGAAAGGTGCTCAATCCACGAGCACAAAACTCCAGCATGCTCAGCATCCCCTGCATGAATGCACACTCACTATTGACGCAATTTCCTTATAATGCCGCGCAACACAATCTCCATTCGTTTCCGCCACAACCTTGCGAGCGGCCGCCTCTGGGCACAGCGCCTTGCTGCCACGGGGCACTGATTTCTTCCGGGCGATCCTGGGCATTTCGCTCGATCGGTCGATCCAGCCTGGATCGAGGCTGTCCTTGACGACAGGTCGGCCTTGCCGCAGAAAGATCGTGGAACGCGGTCCCAGAATGCCACGAGTAAAAGATCGGCCAAATACTCGGTTTGAACAGAGTAAAAGTCGTGCAAAACCGTGCCAAAACGTGTTAAGTCACGTGGACTCCCTCAATAGTTATTATACGGTTCGGTTGCATTTTCACAGCATATATGTACGATTTTCAATCGATGTGCACGATTTACACGGTACACGGTTTCTCGAAGCCGTGTATTTTGGCCTGTGTTTTTTCTAGCGTGCTCTGGTCTCCTGCCGTGCGCCCCTGAGTCTGTGACACGAAATGCATGTGGATGAAAGCGCGTGGCGAATTTGGCCTGCCCGCTCGCTGGCGGGTCGCCGAAAGAGGCCTCGTTGGCGGGTGGAAAAGCCGTGTGCGCTTTCCTGGTCGTTCTGAGACTCCTGCGAAAGCTTGGCCCATCTGCGAGAGCTCAAAGCATCACTGCGCCACCAATACTTGAAGGTATGCCGCTTGGTTTGAGAGCGGTACGATAGACACGTGACAAAATGCTCCAAAAATTCGCTCATTTCCAATTTGACATGTTTGCGGAAGCCGCAGCTCACAATTGCAATTGCATTGGGCAGAAGGAACCAGTATATATACTATACATTGCATTGTGCATTGCCGAATTTCCATCATTAAAAATGACCACAGTTAGAGCTGCATTGGGTGACAAAAGCCACGAGGTCACCAGCAAAGATCGTCAGTGAAGGAAGCAACGCGAGAACATGCATAGCTCAGAAAACACAAACACCGAGCCTAGCAACGCCCACGCCTGGCCGAGATGGCTCTTTGATCCGCCTTCAATCAAGGACACATACCACCTCCTAAATACGGTGGATCCGTCGAAGCTGCACCGCCTCGCAACCACCGCAAACCATTAAGTACTGCGGAGTCTGCAGTACTTACGCGCAGCGCGGACCGACCAATGCTCGTCGATCCTGCCGAAGGACACCCCCCTGCCTCGGGCGTCGCAGCGGTCGCCCCCCACCGCAACTGACGTCAAGGGCCCACAAGAGCAGGGCGTTATGCCAAACAGCCCAATCGTCTGCGCCAGCAGCGCCCAGAACCTCCTGCAGCCGCCGTGAGCGCATCCCACGGCGCTGAGCAGCCATGGCCGCCAAAGCCGCGACGAAGACTTTCGCCCAGCGGTGGATCATTGTCGAGGTCGGCAGGCTCGATTGTCGGTCAACCGCTCCTTCTTCTTCCCTGCAACTTGGCGCGTCCGCCCCGTAGCCACAGATCCCGCCTTTGCCAGTCTTTGGTCCAGATCTTCGGGCCGTGAAGTCTTTACCTCAGTCGCTGCTGCGCTCGCTGATTGGCGCCACAGGACAATCTTGCGGAACTTCTGCGGCCCTCTCTTGCCTTTGCCAAACTTTGGCAGAAACCTTTGCGCTGTAAGTTGGCTGACGCTGCGCTGGCTGGGAGCGTGGCGCGGTGGCCGGTTGGCGCCACGAGACAATCGTACGGATCCTCTTCGGCGCCCTCCTGGCTTTGTCAATGCCTGGTCCAGAACTTTGACTCGTATGGCTCTTGCAAGATCGTTGCAGCTGCGCTCGCTACAAGGTGGCGCAGTGGCCAATTGGCAGCCAATCGGCCCCAAGAGACAATCTTGCATAACTCTGTGGCCCCTTTGACAAACTCTGGGTGAAAGCTGTGCCCTGCAAACTCGTTGCAGCTGCGCCCGCTGAAAAGGGGGCTGGTGATAGCCGATTGTCGCCACGAGCCAATCTTACGGACCTTCTGTGCCCCCCCCCTCCCTTTGTCAAACCCTGATGAAACCGGTGCCGCGCAGAGTCTTTGTCCCTGTTCCAGCCGCACACGCTGGCGAAGAGGCGCCGTTGCCAGTCAGCACCACGAGATCTTGCCCTGCTAGCTCGTTGCCCCGTTGCGGCTGCTCTCGCTGGAAATGTTGCTGTTAGCGCCGCTAGCCAATCTGACGGATCTTGTGTGGCCCATTCCGACAGGCGTATCCGCTGTTCGTGGCGGTGGGCGCAGCCACGGCGGGTTTCGCTGGGCTGCTGTCGCGCTCCATCTTCTCGGACCCCGACATCAGGTGAGCGAACCGCTGCGCCCTGCGCAAAAGGGAGGGCCCACGGGCAAAGTGACCTCCCTCTGCCCACACATTATGTCAATCAATCGATCAATAAATGGGTGAGTGAATGAATGAATCCATCATTTCATGGATCAATCAATCAATCAATCAATCAATCAATCAATCAATCAATCAATCAATCAATCAATCAATCAATTCAACCTTTGGACGAATACTCCCCGGCCCTGTCCCAACACCGAAGCAGGCAGCCACGGGTTTGCTCAAACGCGTCGAAAGGTCATCGCGCGAGGGGAGAGGGCAAAACGCCGGGCGCCAGCCGCCGCCGCAGACTCCTCAGGTCTGTGGGCTCGGGCCCGCGACCGGACAAGCTCGTCGCAAGGCAGGAAAGGCGCAAGGGCCTCCGGTCGGCGTCCGGCTGTTCAGTCAGCGAAACAGCCTGCTTGAGTGCCGCTCCATGAATGTCCACAGACACTCGGCGCTTCGCGGAGGATTCGGTGCAAGGTTCACCCATCGATTTTGCTGCGTCGCTGCGCTGCCCACGCGCTCTTCCTGTTGGCGGAAACGCAAGGGACTTTGCGCCAGACTCTGTGCGCGCTTGGGCAGCCGCAGTGGGGACAGCCAGTGGGTGCCGCTCAACGTCATGTGCACGGAAACAACGCATCTACGTGCGTGGAAGCAACACATATTCATGCACGCTCGTGTACATGGCAGCAACACATGCCCACTTGGCGTTGAAGGAACACAGTCCACGTACAATCCACGTACATGGCCGCGACATATGTCCACGTGCGTTGAAGCAACCCAGTACATGTACAGTTGGTGTACATGGCAGCAACACATGCGTTGCTGCCCACTCTGGTCGACATTGTCGGTTGCGGCCATTGCCAATGTTGGTTTTCAATTCACATTGGTAGCGGCGGCCATTAAGGGGATTGCAATCTGTGCCCAAACGCTGGAAGGGGGAGAGAGGGATATCCCTCCCATCATCGATGCTGCCATCCTTGTGTTTTCGAAGCAAAGGGCACTGTGTGGGTCGACACGGCCATCGTAATGGTCTTCCGGCTGACGTTTGGTAGTGAATATTAGTCATTCCTGACTGCATGACATTCATTTGGTAGTGACCATTAATGATGTGCCTGAGGCGGGCACAACGCGGGGCGAACAGCTAAATGTTCGTGCAAAGATTGGTGCGGCCGGTGGCAGCTTTGCATTCGGCTGCAGCCGTTCGCCAGTATTGGCTAACGACTGGCGAAGAGCACTGAAACCACGCTGCTGAAAAC